GAGAGATGCTGGTTGATGATCAGGGATTACAGAGATGATGGTTGAGGTCCAGGGTTTTGAGAGATGCTGGTTGATGATCAGGGATTAGCGAGATGCTGGTTTATGACCAGGGTTTTGAGAGATGCTGGTTGACGACCATGGATTTAAGAGATGCTGGTTGATGACCAGGGTTTTGAGAGATGCTGGTTGCCATTATGATCTCATTGGGGAAAAGTATTTTTGTGCGACATGTTATTTCGTCCTGCGTCCACTTTTACTTAATTAAGATTCTTGATCCAAATCTTTCCGTTTTTTCATGTTCTGCTGTTATTGCGTTGTGTTCAACCTTCGCAAATCTCTTGTGTTTTGATTTAAAGTATAATGATGAACTGGTATTCGTTGTAACAAGTATAGTATGTGATGATCAGACAACCCGTTAACTACATAGCTGGCTGGCGCCTAGGCCGAACACTACACTGTCTACCTATCAACAAAGATAACGAAGCTGATTGGTTCAAATTGTTTCGGTAACACACGGAATGTATGCAATATATCGAGTAAAATGTAAGATTTGATAAACTCAGTTAGTGACGTGTGAGAAAACTTAATGAGAGGTGTGAGAAAAAATTAATTTGTGAGATGTGAGAAAACTTAATTTGTGAGGTGTGAGAAAACTTAATGAGAGGTGTTAGAAAACTTAATTTGTGAGGTGTAAGCGAAACTATTATCTGTCTATCGTGTACAGATTTTTTATGTACATCAGGTCAGACAGTTCCTTTTATATTCTGTAGTAATTACAGACCAGCTTCATCTTGTAAAGCGAGAACTGCTTTTTACCTCGCTTATTAGGTATGGTAAAATAGAAAACAATGAACGGAGTGTCTAATATATGTCATGGTACAACATTAAATATGACACGTATCTAAACACGTTTTACTTGACAACTCCGCCTCGCCATGCTGCCTTTTACGCACTGAAGTAGACAGGTCAGACAGTATATTTGATTCCATGTCCATATGGTAAAATAGATTTGATACATCCAAAGGTTCTCATTCTAGCCACCATAATGCATGCACACATATGTTTCTTTACATTTGTATACAAGTTCATAGAAAAAATCTTATTACAACATCACATAAATGTTCAATAAAGAATCATACGAATATATTCATTAATCCATTGCATGTTTATTGCAACGTTTGTTTATTACAATATCATACCAGTACAAATTACAATACCATACCTTTTTTCATTTTTCATCTTCAATCAGTTTATGAAGATTGCCAGAAAACGTTTTCTTTTTTAAATTACATTTCACAATCATTCAATCAACTTGGGACTTTCTATTAAAAAGCGCTCATACAACAGATACACGATATCTTTTATTTTCATTGACTTCTTTCTGTCAGCAAATTTGAATCATTTACTTCGAAAACAGACTTTGTCCATTTGTTGCATGTTTATTGCAACGTTTGTTTATTACAGAGGTTTGTTGTGATTACGTGTCTTGTAAAACACAGGTTTGTCCATTTGTACTTCTATGTGATTACGTGTCTTGTAAAACAGAGGTTTGTTGTGATTACGTGTCTTGTAAAACACAGGTTTGTCCATTTGTACTTCTATGTGATTACGTGTCTTGTAAAACAGAGGTTTGTCCATTTGTACTTCTATGTGATTACGTGTCTTGTAAATTCTTTCACTTCCGGTTTTCCTCTCCGGACATATTTGTTCACGTTTCATTTCTTGCCCCGTCGGAAGATCGCCTTCTCTATGGCCATCATTGGGGCCTCAAAGGCCAGGGAGGCCACAATGGACACAAGAACCGACATCACTAATGTTCCAAGGAACATGAAAATCTGCAACACAACAAAATCAGTGTTTCAAATCTCAATGTCTCGTAAAGATTAACAACAAAAATGTTTAGCAATATAAAATCAGCCCAGAAAAACGGGCAATACCTTGATAATAAGTATTGGACAGTTTGAGGTTTATATCTAACTTAAAACATAGAATACCTCTTATGCTGATTCGTGTAACAATTTCTATATTGGTGTGCATTAACCCATTTATCTTATTGGGCTGTATGAGGTGAACCTATTGTCATACTCATGCAAACCTCATACAAAATTTTGGAGTCTGTGGAGTTCGCATGTGTTTAGATAGCATATTGTCCTCTGACACTGAGGAGGTTATTTTTATAACTCAGTAAAAATGTATGGAATGTGCTTAATTTCACTGACATATACACCGCTGATACAGTATTCTAGCTGTTAAGTTTTTAATGTGATATATTCCACGGATATATACACTGCTGTTCAGTAGCGTTTGAGTTTTGAATGTGTTGAATTCCACTGATATGTACACTGCTGGTACAGTACTATAGCTGTGTCATTTTAAATATATAATATACTCCACCAGAACTCGAGCTGGGTTTTTTATGTGTTTGATTCTAAGGATAAAAAACCACTTGTAATCAATATTTTGATTTAATATTATACTAAAAAATCCCTGTTTGTTGTTTTTGTTTGGAACCTATGTCACTTAATAACCCCTATATGGCTCCGTCCATCTGTTATCTAGAATGTGATGCCACAACTGTTCAATAAGTTGAGCACATATAAGACGGTCCTGTCAACATATTGAACACCTACAGGTAACTTATTGTACAGCCATAGGTGATACCTGAACTTTCTACTGGATATATTACAAAAACACAATGGATGACATCACAACTGTGTTTTAAACCGAATACTTATTTACAATAAAAAGCGTACTTACAAATTCGAGATTCGTGGCATAAATCGGAAGCCGCAAGGAAGACAGATAACGCATTATGACCAGGAGGTGTGTCAAGTAGATACAATAGCTCAGTCTACCGAGGGGGACGAACAGCTTCCAGGACAGCAAATCATTTACGATACCTGGAAAACATTTAAACGTTTACATATCAGTATATATTATTATCAGTGACACTGAAAAAGAAGACACACTATTGATTACATATATATAAGTTTTTCATTAGTTAACTTTCCTTTTCTAAAAAAGCAGCACTCTACGATCAACAGTACTTGAATTGACCGTGTTAGTACGAGGCATAACCCCAAGTTTAAGCTTAATCTTAATGTAGAGACTATCATAAATATTTGTTGAATTCCATTTCAGTGTAACAGAAAAGGGGAAAATGTAACACTCAGAGCAACATTCGAAACCGGGAGATCCGAATTCTAGCCAAATGCTCTATTTACATCTAGCTACCATTGTTCACCAGAGTTCGACCCAGTCCAAGTCCACAACATTCATAAGACCCTATGGTTCATTCTGTGAGTGTATACATCGCTCTATGCTGAACGCAACATTAAAATGCAGCGACCAGAGCGGAATTCGAACTCGTGACCACCGAACTTTAGACGAGCGCTTTAACCACCTAGGCCACCGTTCACTGAATATCGACCTAATGCATATTTGTCATATTGATAATAACCGTTTTAGTTTGCTGTGTTGGTGAAATAAAGAAAAGAGTTATCGGTCCCAAATATCAGAAAATGAACTAAACCCTTACCCCCGTTGCCTGTAACACAGGCGAAGATGACCCAGGAGACACACATGCCCCATACAGAGCGGTGGACGGCGTTGTAGAGAGCGTTCACGCCGTTACTCCACTCCTGTCCGTTGACGGGGTCGTTGATCCCGTACAAAACAAGACACGCCATGACAGCTATAAATACCCAGGCCACGAGGTTGATCACCTGATTATAAAAGTAATACGTTAAAGACACATTTGATTCAATGCTGCATAAAATGATGATGCACTAAAGTCTATGACGTGATCCGAAACATGTGTAGAAAATCATCAAATTACAGAAAGTTCCTATAAAACCCTTTAGACCGATAGAACAGAGCTCTATTGGNAAAATCATCAAATTACAGAAAGTTCCTATAAAACCCTTTAGACCGATAGAACAGAGCTCTATTGGATATATAGAATAGTGTTTAACCTTGTAAACAATATATATATATATAAGGAATACTGTATTGCCTTGGTATATATATATATATATAAGGAGTAGTGTATAACCATGTACATAAATACATATATATATATAATAAAAAGGGATTAAATGTCCATGTGAAGGAAGTAAATATAGAAAAAATAAGATTAACGACCGACTAAAAAACTAGCTGCTTTCACCCTTCACATGGCTCTTCAGGTTAATTCAAAAGAACGTTCTTTTGAATAATCCTGAAGAACCCTGTGAAGGGTGAAAGCAGCTAGTTTTTTAGTCGGTCGTTAATCTTATTTTTTCTATATAAATATATATATATATATATATACATGTATATAAAAGGAATAGAATATTTCCTTGTTATATATATATAAAAGGAATAGTGTATAACCTTGTTATATAGTATAAATTGGCGGGTACGTATATGGCGGACGTCGCTATAGCGAACTATAATTGACGTCATAGTTTATGACGTCACAACATATACTTCAAAAGAGATGAAAGTACTAAAGACTCGTTGTTGAGAATTTTTTCTTCTTTTTATAATATATATACATATTTATTATACTTCTACTGAGTTTTTCCTATATAAAGACAATGCGATAAAATCTGCTATTTCCCTTAAATCTCTTAAATCTCTCCATCTGAGAGCTACTCCTTCCCCAAATTAGGACTACTCCCTGCAAAAAAGGACTATTTCCTGCCAGAGAGAGGACTACTTTCTGCCAGAGAGAGGACTACTCCCTCATGAATATTTGTAGGCGGAGTTTAAAAGATTTCAACCAATGGAAACATTGGTAGGCGGGGCCTTCTCCATGACGCTCGTGACGTCACACTTTCAGAACCAAATGCCAACAGTGAAAATGGCCACCGATGAAGAAGACCGTTGTGTTGTTGTAAAGAGGAGGTACAGCAGATTTTGGACGCTAAACGTATTTTAAATACAAAAGCTGTTAAAACGACTGCAGTGAATTCACTTCAAACTAACTTACCTAACAGAATGGAATGCCGGAAGCGTCGACGAGAAGGGTCAAGCAAGCTCAGAGAAGGTGAACGTGTGTCCAGTTAGGACACACAAGATTTATGCAGAACTTAAAAAAAGTGGATGGGACTAGATCTAGATATGGTAGGAAAACAATGGTGACTATGAGATGCAGTCTATAAAACCACTTCTTGAATGCTAGAAATGAAATTATCATCAACGACGATGCATACGGTACTTCCAATTGTATTTTTTCTCTTTGAAATTGTAAAAGGACATGAATAAATAAATTCATTTGTTGAACTTCCTTTAATAATTTGTTTCGTTATAATAAAAAAGTTATAGAATGGGTATTTTGGGAAATAGCAAATTTATGGTCACCCTTGGTGAAAAACTATTCCCCTCGCCGGCTTCGCCGCCTCGGGAAATAGTTTTTCACCTCGGGGACCATAAATGTGCTATTTCCCTCATACCCATTCTATAACTGTATATTATATATATATAGTAGATAATAAATAAATAAGTCCTTGCGAAGAAAAATATAGAATAAAAACATATTTTTTTCAGATATATATATAAATAAAGTAAAACACGAAGACTAGTATAGTTGGCTAGCGCTTTCGCCCATCTTGAGCCCCAAGATGATACTAGTCTTCGTGTTTTGCTTTATTTATATTTTTAGCGTCACATGGACGTCTTGAAAAAGGAGCAGATCGCTCCGAAAATTTGACAACCTAAACTTGTCCACACTGTTGGAATTACTTCTTTGCCCCATATATATATAGCGATAGTCTGAAGAATCTCCTAGAAGAGATGAAAGTACTAAAGACTCGTTGTTAAGAATTTTTCTTTTTATAATATTTCTTCGTCCGTAAGGATCATTTTTCTGATTTCTAATATGTATATATATATATATAAGGAATAGTGTATTACCATGTTATATATATATACATATATATATAGAAAAAATAAAATTAACGACCGACTAAAAAACTAGCTGCTTTCACCCTTCACAGGGCTCTTCAGGTTTTCAGGAACTATTAATGTATTACTAGTTACGAGGAAAACCTGAAGAGCCCTGTGAAGGGTGAAAGCAGCTAGTTTTTTAGTCGGTCGTTAATCTTATTTTTTCTATATATATATATATGTATGATAAAAAGAGATTAAATGTCCATGTGAAGGAAGTAAATATAGAAAAGATAAAATTAACGACCGACTAAAAAACTAGCTGCTTTCACCCTTCACAGGGCTTTTCAGGCTTATTCAAAAGAACATCTTCGTGACGTCACAATTACATGTCATCACACTACAATAGTAACGTAACGTCACGAAATACACAAGATTGGTGGACGATTTAGCGTAACATTTTACTGTGGCCTGTTGAGACTTGGTTTTAATATTTTGATTAGTTGGTCTTCTTTCGTTTCTCTTAAAATAGTGTCTGATGAAAATAGTTGATACAGAGGTAATACATTAAATTTATCTCCAGCACATTCATGTTTGTTAACATGAGGATTTCGTAAAGAATCAGTTCTAGTGTGTTGTCTTTGTACAGTCATACGTGTTCTGAGTTCATAACCAGTTTGACCGATGTAAAAATCACCACATTTAACACAAACTATTGCATAAATTATTTGTTTTGATTTACAATTCATATTTACCTTCACAGTAAATTTCAAACCATTCTTGAAAATATAAATATTACACTCGATAATCATAGGACATGTAGCACATCTCGGTGTCTTACATTTGGATACTCCTGGTGTTACACAAGAATTATCAAACTTAGAATATGTCAACATACGTTTCAAGTTCTTAGGTTGGCGTCTACAATGTAAAATAGCATGTTTAATAAAAATGTTTCTCATACGCCTGCTACTTTGCTTTAACTCTTCACATTAGTTCTTTATCACAGAAAACATATCACAATTCCGTGGATTGAAAGTAGAAACAAAAGAAACTAACTTTGATTCATCCTTTAGATTTTTTAGACGGGAAGTAAAGGGTCCCTTTTCAATAGCTTTCTGTATACCATGTTCTATTATCTCAGTAGGATAACATTGAGCTTTAAGGTATTGCTTTAGTTGACTGAGTCTAGCAATTTGAGCTTGTTGTCACTGACGATAGTGACAATCCGTGAGGCAAGATTAAAAGGAATATTAACTTTAGTGTGTTTACTGTGGTTAGAGTAAAAAGTTAGATAATTATGTGCATCTGTAGCCTTACAATATAAATCCGTTGTAATCTTATTTGAATCTAGTCAATTGTCAAGGAACCTTAAACAAATATTTCTGATAAATTCAATAAAGTTTTCCCCAAACTTTGTTTCAATCTTAGAATAAAGTGTTTCCTCTAAGTATCCTAAAACTAAGGGTGCATATGTAGGGGCAACTTTAGTTCCCATCGCTGTACCTTTAATCTGCTGAAAGTCTTCTTGGTCAAAATAAAAAGAATTACGATTGAGGACAATGTCTAGAGCTGGAAGTAAAAATTCATTACTAAAACGAGAATTACTGTATTATCTTCTGATATAAGGAATAGTGTATAGGTAGCAGAGTACAGAAGAGGGTTGTGGCCATGGGTGATATTTTTGTTAAATGGCTAACCCCTGTATTATGACATGTAAAAAATAAAAATAAAATAAAACTGTACTAAAATTGGTATAAGCATGATGAATCGGACTATGTTGGCTTCACATTTCTAAAAAAGCAACTAAATGTATTTGGTTAGAGAATAAAAGTTTGGCCATTTTCCGAAACAGTGTCTATACATGAAAAGCTAGCTTTACAGGAAGTAAAATTGTGAACACAGCACATGAGGCAAAATTGCTAAAAATCCACCGGAAACGACCTATGCTGGAACACGGTAATTCTGTAACCAAGTATGTGATCTTTGATTTTAGACAGAACTTAGGAAAAAAAAATCTAGTTGTGGGGGTCATATTTTTGGTCAAAAATGGTGATTTTTGGCATTTTCTCGTAATTTTTGATGTGGTAACCATGGTTTTCACACAAGTGACATATACAGAAAAAAGAAATTTATACACTTCTCAGTACTTTATACGTATTGCAAATATAATGCAGTTTACAAATATATATACATGTATATATGTGTTGTGTAGGGTAAATCCGCTGTGTTTACATTTCTTAGACACGTGCCTTGTTTTTCAGAGTCAGGCCGCTTCTACTGTACTCTGCTACCATAGCCTTGTTAAAAATCAGAAACAATGTATAACATTGTCACATGTATATATACGGAAAAGTGTATAACTTAGTTATAGATAAGACATAGTGTATAGCCTTGTTATATATAAGGAATAAATAGGTATAACATGTTACATGTATATATAAGGAATAGGGTATAACCTTGTTATAGGAAAACTGTCTTGAGTTGCTTAATAAAAAAACATGTACATCGCCTACTGTCTTGTATCATTCGATGTACATCGCCTACTGTCTTGTATCATTCGATGTACATCAGTAACTGTCCTGTATCATTCGATGTACATCAGTAACTGTCCTGTATCATTCGATGTACATCAGTAACTGTCCTGTATCATTCGATGTACATCAGTAACTGTCCTGTATCATTCGATGTACATCAGTAACTGTCCTGTATCATTTGATGACTGTCAGTAACC